AAAAAATGGACAGCAGCTGGTGACCACAGCTACCAGAGTGATTCAGAGAGCTGGTATCCAGACACAGCTTTTCCCTGAGTCTTGACAGTTCCCCTCTCATCGTGTGAGCAGAAATGTGCCCACTGGAAGACATCTTCAAACTTCTTAGGACAAAGAAATGTACCTGAAGGCCCCTAGCAAAGCAAGTGACTACTGCTAGCTTCATTCAGAACAGAAGACACAGCAGCAAGCTGTAAAGCCTTCAGGCAAAAAGGTGTTTGGAAATGGACTGCAAGCCGAACAGCATCTGAAGGCACCCTTTAACTATTATTGCTAACATACTATTAGTGCAAGTGTTAGATCTATGGAAGGGAGACTTTTTGTATCTTTTCCCTCTGGTTGGGTAAGCTTTAAGTTTGCTCCAATGGAAGCAGAACTGATAAATATTTCATAGTACCACAGCTTGACAAGAGCTGTAACTGCTTCAACACTGCCAAAATTACATATATTCTGTCAACATGTGTTTCTAAACCAAACACAGCCAAGAATAGGGGAAAAAAAAAAGAAAAAAATGGAAAAAAGAGATATCAGTACAACAGAATAGTCTAGCCAACAAATGACACTCTAAACTCCAGTCATCTCACTCCATAATTTCCAAAACCAACCTCCAATCTACACAAACTGACAACTCACCCCTCTTGAGATTTTGAACTAGCTTGTTAAATAGTGAACGTTCAGTCTCAAAGTAAACTGATTTTTAGACAGTAACTATCATGATTCTTAATCTATCCATGTCTTCCTCATATTTGACTAGAAAGTCTGTTTTTCCAGTTCCTGGCCAGATATGAAATAGTTTCAGCCTACAGAATCACAGCATACAATAAGCCTAGGTGATTTGCAGAACTTAGGTGCAGCATGCAATATAATAAAAAGATGTATTTTGTCTGAAATGATGATAAGACTTGCCTTCCCTTTGTATTAACTGAAGGGTTGCTATTGGGAGTAGTGAAGAGGTGTTGTTCACAGCAAGAAGGTTATGACATGCTATGTGTGTTATTATCATCTAATGTAAACATTAACAAAGTGAAATACCTTGAGATATGTGGTGAAATATTTCACAGAAGGAGAAAAACATTAACCAGTTATTCAAATGACATAGCAGGTATGAAAAAGGATGGTGTTCACAATTCAGTCCTGTGGAGACCTTGAGGCTGGCTCGTCTGTCCCTTGCTGAAGATTATCTCACTCAGACATGCTCTGACAAACTTGACTAAAACGGTTTTCTTCCCTCTGCCCTTCTAGGAGAGGAGAGGAATGTGAACAGGTGAAGAGAACTTCACAAGTTAATGTTGGTATAGGTTTAAAACAAAAGGTACAACTGAGGTGCACTTTAACTTTAGGTAGCTTTAATCCCTACGGGTACTCATTTTACTTTAAAAAACACTCTAAGACATTTTTCCTCCAGCCCATGTAGGCTTACGGTGGCAGCCGATAGTTTTCATGAGACTTTTGGACCAATGTGATATTTTCTTTAGTAGTTATATTGATTTATCTCCCCTCTCCAGTCTCCTGCACACAATCCAGCTGGCTTCCCCATGCCCACAGATGTGCCAGTACAACTGGTGGCAGGTATCACACAGACCTGGGGTGAAACCAGCTCATTTACCTGATTCAAAGTGCCTCTACTGTACTCTTCCTGTGATATGCAGGACTCTGAGGGGAATGCTTTAATGTCACTATCTCCAGAATTGTATTCAAATAGGCAGTGTTGAAAAAGCAATTTAAATATAAAAATTTAGCACAGGAACTCTACTCATTTCAGGTATTGCCCGTCCCCCTCTCCCCCCCAAAATGTGTCAGACTGAGGCCAAAAACTTCAGGCTGAAGATCTAGGCAGATTCAGCTAACCTACCTATGGCAGAGATTCCACAAAAGCACAGAAGTATGCTGTTCAAGAAGGTATCAAAGCCATTACTACAATGCAGTGTTGCTCCAGGTAGGTGGAAAATACAAGATCAGCTCCCCTGTGAGTTCCTCCACTGAGGACAGCATTCTACTGAAGCCTCACATGAACTAGCCCAAACATTAACATGGAAGACAACTTAAGTTTCAATTAAAATCCCATCCAAAATACACACGCTACATACCATGTGATTTACTATGCCTGCTTCTGAAGGGTGATGGGCGGAAATAATTCTAAAACCTTAATCTGCTAGTTTAATGACTTTGTGTTTCAGACTTGATATTAAGATCATTAGAACTGTTTCTAGTTAGAAATTAAAAAAAAAAAAAGAAAAAGAAGCAAAACCAAACGCACACTTTCCACCAAAAAAAAACCTTCACAACTAAGCCAGGCACAGCTTACCTAGAGTCAACATCTATGTGACAAATGTTTTCCATAGTTAGTACCCCAAGGTATATCTACCATAAACACTAAACATTATGCTAAGACATTAGATGACACATAACTTAAGCACAGTTAGTATACTCAAGATTTAAATTTGAGGACAAAAGTGGATATACTGGTTTAAGAGGGGGGGGAAGTATATCCACTGCTATATTTGAATCCTTGTTATCCTTCCACCACCCTGTGAAAAACTGAAAATCAGTGCATTCATAAAGGCCAAGGCATTGCACATGCACCATGACAGAATACAGAACTCTAATTTCCAAAGACATTCTCATGAATAACCGAGAGGGTGATATTTCTAGCCTAATATTCATTAACAGCCAGGATTACATCATTTTACAGCATAGCTGAGAAGACTAGAAAGAGTTTCTGCAGAACTGCACAGTTTTTATTTCTCTTGATACAGTTGAAGGACAGGGCAAGGAAAACAAAACATCAAGGCAAAAGATTAAAAATTCAGAGCATCTAAAAGATGATCTTCTCTAATTTAAACAACATACAGATTAGCCTTTTTACTGTTTGAATGGCAGTAATTGCCATAATCGCAGTTCTACAACTCTATTCATTCTATTTCTATTCCCTCACACTCTTTCTTCAAAAGAATTTCACATTTGAAACTGAAGTTTCCTAAGAAGCAAGAGCTTTTTCCCTCTTGTTGTTGTCTTACACCTGTGTGCATACAGCAGTTTTAGTGCGACAACTCCTCAACCTGTCTCCTTAAGAAGGCTAATTGTGCATTCACACTGGAGAAAGTACATCCACAAATCTGGAAACAGAAGTTGTCAAACTGGACTGTATTAACCAAAAGGTTTTATCCATTTTATTAATTAAAAAAGACACAGGAATAAAGGTCTAACGAAAAAGAATTCCCTAATAACCATCCTTAATAAACAGGCACTTCTACATCCTTCAAGGTTTTAAACTTCTTGCAGAAATTTCTTCTACAGATTTTATCAGATATCTAGCATGATCAGAATGCCTCAACAACCTATGCGGTGCTGGAAAGCAGGGGACAGCATCATGCCCCACTCCCTTCACTGCTCTCAGCCACCCGCTCCTGCTGCCTCCTGTGAGCTGGCTCTGGCCCCTGCCTGGTCCCCAGCAAGTACATCCAACTCACTAAAGACAAACTCAGCAGAAGAATGCCTATCTGACAGGTCAGACACTTGACCTGGATTACCTTGCAATTAGATACAAGCACCAGTGCTAGGGCTGGGTTGGCAGTGCACCAATAGGGAGAGGGGGGAGAAAACCTCCCCCTTTCAACAGGGATGTGCTGTGAAATCAGCTCAGCCAAACAGTGAAACTGTACTCTAGGACACTCACCAGCTGCATGGCGTTTTAAAAGGTCATTAAGCGACAGAGGGAAGGTGCCTTCCAAAAAAAGGGCTGCATTTAAAAAAGCCTACTCAAGAGAACTAGGACTTAAGGGGGGAGGGGAGGAAAGATGGAATGAGCAACAACAGGATTTGTATAAAAGTACTGGTTCCTCTGGGAGATGCTCTTATAAAGTGTTCGCTATATAAACAGAAATAAGTGATATTACCAAAGTCTGCAGAAACTAGAAGTGTGCTACAGTTGAGAGTTAGAAAAAATCTGAGAGAAAACACAATTAATGTGATGGTCCTTAGATTCCTCCTTAAATGGGAAACACTACCAAACTCACACCTTTTGAAGGCTAAATGGAAGAACTGGAAATAATAAAAAAAGAAAAAAGTACTGGGTATAGCAGGGAGGAGAAGGCAAGGAAAGGCTCTTCTGTTACCTAGACACAATTGCCAAATAAGCACACATGGTACTGACAGATCAATGAGTTCGAAGGTTTGATGGGCTAAGTTTGGTTATCATGATAGCCATCTCCCTAGTTATTGCTTCTGATATAACTGGACTAACATGCAACAACCTCTTGAAAGCTTGGTTGTACCATCCAACCTGCAGGTTTAGAGTGTATTTTCATGGTAAGGAAGCAGAATCAACATGGTCTTCAAAGAGAAGCTAGCAGACTACTCATGAACAAAAATGCTGAACAGTAATCAAACAGGAGAGTTAGACAGAGGTATATTCCTGACAAAAGCTGTTTCATACATTTTGTTATGATCTGGATTCATTTGTGAATTGGGGACACCAACCTGGCTGATTCTTCCTAATGTGAAATGACATATATGTGGATAAAATTAAACTTGATAAAGTTACTACAGATAGCAAGGACTATTTCTGTGCATGTGCAGAGCAGCTGAAGAGGGAGTTACAATCTTAAGCATTTAGTTGCCTCAATTAACAACCATTTCACTTTCAACATAAAAAATGTATTCTGAGCTCTAAACTCTCAGACCTTATAAATTCAGATGTTGTATTTCAGTTAATAGCACAATTCATATACCTGGGCATCACATTACTTGACACAGGATTATGACCCTGACCTCCTTTTGAAGATACACATTGAATTTACTTTAACTGAAACATTGTATCTGCAAATGTTTGTATTACTCAAAATATAAAGAGAAGAAAACCCCACACAAGGTAAACACAACTGACATTTTAAAATGCATTTTTATAAATTTTTAATTCCTTCACTTGATCACGTTAGAGACTTAAATGGAAATATACTTACTGCTCTTTTCCTGGAACAACCTGTAATCCAAGGCACAGTAAGGTTTCCTGAAATCTGTAGAGGGAAAGGAGGAAACAGAACAGAAAACAACAGCAGCTTAGGTCGCTATGATAGCTAGTACTGAACAGCTTTCACAAGAGTTCAATATTGTGCATTCAATTCTGGTAAGAAAGTCTTTGAAACAGGTTAAGATTTAAAAGCAAAGCAACGTCACGCTTAGCCTTACTGTTGTAAAGTTAAAAACAAAACATGGTTTCTTTGGGTGAAGGTAAGGTAACATGATGGCAACTTAGGTGTTTCTGTGGTTTTGCTATCTCAAAACTTGTATTTCAGAACACAAATTTTCACTTGCTATCTGTCACAAAACTGGTAAAATTAAGCAGACTGAGACAAGGGCCAAAGTCTGACAGAACAGCCGTCACATATTTTTCCAATTACATCAGTTAAACTTTCAGAAAAAAACACCATCACATTAGTGACTGAGCTATTCAATGTCAGACATTAAGGATTTGCATATTAGCAGAAAAACTAGGGCCATCAGGTTGGAGAAGGAAGAGGAGGGGATGTGAAGGCACAGGTTAGCTGCCTTGATTCCCATTGCTTCTCCATCATTCCCAGAGGTCAGACTTTATCAAATAATAATCCTGGACTGTTTTCCCTGGCCATCGGAAATATGTCATATCCTGGAATATTTTAGGCTTATTTAGGATTCCACGTTCATCTTCTGCTGTAGACAAGCAAGGCTTGAGAGACTAAACATAGCTCTTGAGAGATTAATCAATTTCAAGTCATTACACACCCTATACACGTGAGGAAGAAAAATCTATGCACTTCTGCTGACTGTATCAAACTACGCTAATAGTTTTTGTATTTGCGAATTGCTCTACTAATGAATCTTGCAGCATGAGCATAACCAAATATAGAATACTTGCACAGTTTGTCTAGTGTACAAATACATAAAATACTCCTAATCTTCAAGCTTTTAGCTGGAAGCACTTGAAGGTTACCTAAGGTCAGACACTTTCTCATTACAGCACAAGGCAAGTTGAGGGGGGCTAGAAATTAACACCTTCCCCTCCTAAGGTCAAGTCTACATCAGCTTTTGTGTCTAAAATACTAATGTCTTAGTTGCACACAAACATTCTAGAAATTCTGTATAAGCAAGTCATGTCTATTACAATTCTATATGCCACACAACAGCTTCACATCACAGAATACGCTGTGGTTGTGTCCTCAGTATCCACCCAGATGACTTCTCTGAAGTGGGGCTACAGAAAAAAAGTGCTTTTCTATGCGAATAAAGCAATCAGTCTGCAGAGCATTAACCATTACTTGGAAGACAAACGCACACAAGTTCTGACAGATATGACGTCAAGTACAATCAAGTTTATATTGAGATAAATACTTGAAAGACCATGCATGCGAGTATTCCAACCGGCTCTATGAAAAGGCACAAGAGTTGGGGCTTTTTATTTGGGCGGGAGTGCGGTGGAATTATTTTTTGACTGAGATGGATAGTTATTCTGCATCCACAGGTGTATCTCCAGTCCTAGTCTAACTGGGACAGCTACTGTGAGCTGCAAAAATGACAACATGAAATGCTTATTTCATAAATGGAAACTGTGGCAGGTGCTAGAGAAAATTCAAAGGCACTGCAACACTTGTGTATTGCCTATGCTGTACTTTAAAGTGGTTACAGTACATAAGGTCCCTGCATATTTTTTTCCCAATTCACCCATAAATTTACTGTCCCAAATTCAGTGGACTGGAACAAACCAAGAGCCCCAATCCAGTCCTGGCTGCTGTGTACCCCAGCATTACTTGGGGCCATATGCAGTGTTTGTGCAGCCTGGGCACAGCTGCTGTCCTCCCCAGAGCCCCACAGGTTCTCCCCACTCATGCAGCTGGAACTATTTCATCACAGAAATAAGGTGGAGGAACTCCTGTGACAAAGGTAACTCTGCGTCTGTTACAAGAATGAGCGTCAGGAAACACTTTGTTCAAGTTTCTTCAGGGAAGATCATGTTGCTTGCCCTAACAAAAAGCTGTGCTGCCCAAACTTAACAAAAAGTCTTCCTCTTGTCTTCAGAAGTATCTAAGGAAGTAAACAAATCACTTTGACACATTAAAAAAAAAAAAAAAAAAAAGAAAAGTAAAACATTTGAGTCCCATTTCCTTGAATAAAGCAAGCTTGCAGCTCATTCATATAAAGCATCATTCTTAAAGTTAACCTTTAAAATAAATAAATAAATATTGTATCTATATCCTGTTCTGATGCACTGGCTGCAAGGCTCAGGATTTTCCCTTGAAGACAGGGCTAAATTAGTTAAACACGCTTCAGTGTGTATAAAAAATTAATTAAAATATACATACTTTCAACAGTATTTTTGTCCCTTAGCTTTGGGGGAGGGAGCCAAGACTAAATCATGATTCAGCCTTTACGATCAGCAAGAATAGCCTCCCTAGTTCAATATGTTTAAAGCCACACTAAGAAAAGTAAGTAGGTTGAACAATTTGTTTACTGAAACTGCTCAGGCATTAAAATTGATCACTTTATTAGATTTACTCTTAAGTTACACTAATATGAATTTGATTAATTGAACCAGTAAGGAAGCTATAACTAATTGCTAATTAGATACCCCACCAATATACGACAGTAATTACTTCATCAAAACACAAATCACACAGTCCTGACTTTGAAGAAGCATCTGCTTGGATGTTTAACTACTCCAATAATCATGTAGCTCAGGTTTAATCTGTTTTTAAATTTCCCTAAGTTTAAGGATTTTCATTCCTATGCGGATGGATAAATTAGCTAAACACAGGCAATAAAATTAACTGAAACTGACTACATAGAAGGGAAGTGCCATCCTGAATAAATCTGACAGAATTCAAACAGCACCTTTTACAAAATCGATGCCCATGGAAGTTTCATATATAAATAAGCTTAAGCTATAAGGGGAGCGTCTACATGAAATAGCAGTCATACTGGACGTAATTTTAAGGGAGAACTTGGAGGAGGGGGTTAAACTATGCAAAACTGATGATTCTGACGGAATATGTTATACATTATCAGCCTAGTGGGGTACACTTTGTTACATGTGACTTTGAAGGCAGTAGGTGACATTTTCTGGTCAACATGATAAATGAGTGTTAGCGATGTCACTGTCATACACTAACACCTCTTAACATACAGAACTTAGTTTTGCATTGTTCTGGAGCATGCTAAAAACTCTCAGCAAGGAACACAGTCATCTGAAGAAATCAGCATCATTGTTTCTTCAACATACTGCGGCATCTGGCCAGGCTATAGGACACTATTCCTCTGCAGCTTCATGACACTACATGCCCTGACCCCACAGCTTTTGCCCTCCCTTGTAAATTCTCTAATACTGAAGAATGCCATCTCAGAGGTTCACAGCACACATGCTTAGAGGTGAATTAAAAGCAATCTGCCCAGTTTTAAGACTGTGGAAGAGCAAGGGATACCAGGGGAAACAGGAGCTCCCCCAATCCAAGATGCATTCCTAAATCCACAGAACAGGGTCTCTGACAGACAGGCATGGAAATCAAACGGGTTACAGATGAATTCCTCACTTACTGAAAAAATAGGTAGGTTATTATAACAGGGGGAAAAAAAAAAAAAAAAAAAAAAGGAAAAGAACACAACACAACAAAGTTAGAGATCTCCTTTTTCTGATCCGTATCACACCACGTGGACGTATAAAATGTCATCTCCCATGAACTGTTCTAGTTGTTTAAAAAGACTCTGTCCCTACCCCCCCCCCCAAAAAAAAAAAAACACAAATCAAAGTTATTTCAAATTTCATTTTTAAATTCAAATAAGCAGTACCGATGTTTTTTCAGGAGTGAAATAAAGTACCAAGAGCACACAGCTGGAGGTATCAGTAAGTTTCATGAAGTGAAATATATTAAGAAAAATTTCCTTAACTCTATCATATGCACATCTGCAGCTTTGCCAGCCCTTTATTGAACAGATGTGCACTTTTACAGCTTTCTTCCTCCTATGAAACCAGGTAAACGGTATTTAATAAGTTTTATAACTCAGGTAAGGACAGTAATAGCGAATACTGACAGACTGAGAGAATGGACAAAGGGAAAGAACAGCTCATCTGAAGTGCTCAGCTTAGAAAAGACTATAAATAAGAATTGCAGATGTCCCATCTACCACATAGAATCTACTCCAGAGTATATATGCTCCTCAAACCTCTGGTTTACCAAGAAAAGCAATAATTCTGGTGAAAAGCGGCACTTACTTGGACTCAAAAGCTTTCTTTCAAATCCTCATGAGATAGGAACAAGTCAGAAAAAAGAGAAAAAAAAAAACAACACAACAGCTTCACAAAGTATTGTTCCCTATACTAGTAAGTAATGCACAAGAAAAGATGGTATGTTGTTTACATGGTTCACTGTCAGGATAAATTAAAAAGGTAATAACAGGCAAATGCTCAAAGGTAACACACACATAGTATAACATCCTGTCAGTCTTAAGACTTTTATCTCAGTATCTCTAGACTGTGTCATGCCAGACAGCATAAAAATCCATGAAAAAAACATCAATTTGGATGTTTCCTGCATAATTATCTCTCCTCTAGTTATAACAAAAAAGGAAAAATGTGTGCCAGTGTTGTAGCTTCTTCTGAACATCTTTTAGTTCCTCAGTTATCTGCACTCGATTTTCCCCTCTCAGTATCACTGAAGGCACTCTATTACAGGATGAGGAAATAACGGGATTGAATGTAAAACCAATATTTTAATTAGATGCTGTGGGAGAGGAAGAGTATTTGCTCACTTAGTGTCTCCTATCATTTTAGCTACCTCACAGGAGATCCTAATCCCTATCAGAAAACAGGTCCAAGAGATTGGAAACTGCATAAGGGGCACAGGCAGCGCTGATGGAAGAGCTAATCCAAGCTGACATTAATAAGGGCAAGCAACTGTACAGCACACAAGTGATAGCATGATCCCCTCTTCTGCCCTGTGTCACATGCGAAGTGTGCCTCCGAGGAAGAACCCAGGGTATCGCTGTGACATGCGCTGCTGAGCCACGTCACGACAACACAGACTTAAGCATGCATCAGCAGTCGTAGGTATGACTCTCCTGTAACCAAAGTTTATCTATTGAATCTATGAAGCCCACACCAATCTTTAATATACAGCTACACCCTGAAGCCACGGGCACAGCTATACAGATAAGTGTGCTACCATAGCCCTACCTGCACTTCTGTTTACAAAGGAATTATCTCTACTGAAAGATGTAAATGGAGCACAGCCTGCAGAAAGGCAAACCTGTCACTTACAAGATACCAACTTTCACAGAAAATAGTACTTATCTATAACCTCGTCTTCAAGGTTTGAAGACAAAGATAAATTGACAGATTACCTGGTAATTATTTTGGTTTTGTGACAGCCTCAGTTGACTTGAAGATGTAAAATGAGGAGAAAAGGTACTTCTTGATGGATTAGCACTGTTATATAATGTACTGGATGCTGTATGTAATGAGGTCCGTGCTGGCAAGTGGTAGTCTCTGTTATGATACAGAATATTGTCAGGCACGTCCCTGGCATTCACCATCTGTGAACTACAGCTCACATTTCTTCCTGGCCCAGACAAGGCTGCGCTTTGGTTCTCTACTCGAACAGAACTGCTGCTTTCACAGTATCTCGAATAGCTTTGTATTTGTGCTCCCATGGATGCCAGTTCTTCTTCTCTAGCATATTCGTCATCCACGTCTCCAGTTTCCATTGCGATGGACAGACAGCTGCCTTCCACTGAGCAATGCTTCTGCACGGCGCTTCCTCCTACAATTCTTTGAGGTTGATCTGTAACTGCCAGAGAAAACACTTCGCGGATTTCCAGGTTTTGTGTGCTACAAGAAGGGTCCCTGGTATTAGCCCTTTGTCCAGGGGGCACATGCGATGCGAGAGCTGCATGTTCCGGTTTTTGTAACCTTTGACATCCCACGGGTTCAGCTTTACAGGGTCTGTGGCATATCATGGGTTTCTGAGGTAACACCAACTCTGCAGTCTGGACTGATGAACCACCATAGCTTTTTTTAGTGTGAGTGTATATGGAGTTCGCAGAATTCAATACACTTGTTTGCCTAGATAAAATAATAGTCTTCTCCCCTACTAATAGGGAAGCATTTTTACAATGGGGTACTTGTCGTCCTATAGGGATGTGCTGCTGCTGAAACTCTGTATCGCTTTTTCCTGGCAGTCGTGGAATAGAGGTTTTATGTATTTCTGCCATTGAAGCATTTGTCTGTTTGCTGGATCCTTGCCTACCGGATGAACTAGCAGGACTGTATATACCAGTAACTATTACATCGTTATTAGAAGAGGTCCAAGAAGACTGCTGACTTTGGGATCGAGCAATATTTACCACATTTCTAACTGCTGCTTCTGGAGGTACTGAGGGAGTAGTAGAGACAGTCCCTGGGGGAGTGCCTCCAGATTCTACAGCACTCTTGCTGCTCATCTTCCTTCGTTTATTGCCAACCCACGTCTGCAAACAACAAACAACAACAACAAATACAAAACAAAGCATTAAATAAGCAGAAAAATTAGGCAATTTCATTTTTAAGCAGATCTGATGAAATGTTAAGTGTTCAAGTTGAGACCTAAGTTTACAAATATGTAAATCATTTACTGATTATGCAGCATCTGAACAATACAGGGTGAAAATCCATGCCTCTCATGCTTGGGATTCATACACTAATACACATGAGAACCCCAGTCTCAATTCCAAAGCCCCAGTTTCTCAAAAATCCTGACACTGGATCATGCCCCCTGTCCTGAAGTTACCCTTAAGATTTATTTCACTGATACAGCTGTGACTAATTCCCCTAAAGTTAAGTTTTTAATATTTAGCACCTGGGGATGCAGAACCATCATTGAGGTATGTAGCTAAACTTTTGTAACCAAATAACTGAGAGATACGACCTTCAAAACTGCCTTGAACAGAAACTGCCAATTCTTGAATTTAGATGAGAGGAAGAAAAAGAACTCTCTCTTACACAACTACAAAGTGATTTTGTGAAGTATTTAGACCTATGAGCTAATTCCTTCTCTGCCAGCTGCACAAATCAAGATCTGATGTCAAAATCTGCTTTTGAAATACACCAATAGACAAGATTAGGACTACTGGGATTAGATTCCAACAGAAATTTGCTATTAAGGACATTTCTGAAAGTGACAATGACAGTATGTGGTTCTGTGTAAAAGATAGCAGAGGAAAAATATTTTAAAAATGCAGGTGGTATGGCAGTTGTGTACAGGTTAAAATGTACTGCTGTTTTAAATACAAAGCCTGTCCCTGAAAGTAACACATTAAGAGATAGCTAAAAGAACTGAAGGGGAAACATTAACATAAGTATTTCAAGATAAAGAGAGCATTAGCTGGTGGAAACATCAGCTCTAACACTGGAAGCATATGCATCACCTAACTATTCCTGGCAATTTTCACGATCAGAGAGACAAGACTTGCACAATTCTTTTACCACAGTACGTCTCTACTGAATGTGAGGGCATAAGTGAGCAGGATACAAGTGCCAAAGAATGAAAAATAAGCTTTTGCATCTGCATTTGCTGGTTATGAAAAGGATCAGATACGCATATACAGATAGGGTGAAACAGTTTTCTGCACCACTCTGGATATCATTTGCTACACCTAAAACCAAACCAAAGCAAGATCTCAACATTCAGCAACCCAAACCAGATGATTAATCAATAAACTCCCTCACCCCATAACAAGCAAACTGCACCAAGTACCTATCTTGGGTTTCCATCTCATCACATGAAAGGAGGAAAGCTTTCTTCACATACCGATACCTGCTAAGGAAGTAAACAGATTTTTCTACAGGAAAATATGCATCACTGCCATACAGAAGTATGCTGAAGTTTCCATTCCATTCTACTCATTTTTGTTGTCAAATTCTACAAAACGCCTAATTTGAGGCATGATATGTTGCATGCAGTAAAATCTCAGTTATTAGTGATAAAATTTTTCTTCTCAAAAGCAAGTTTAAATACAGAAATTACAGCCACAGATCTCAAGTTACTTTATTGCATAAAACAATTTTAGAAGATAAAATTTATTTTTAGTAATTTCTGCTCAGTCAGTAAACTTTCAAAATAGAAATTATTATTAAATAGAGACACTGCAAATTTTGGACCAGGAAAAGATATTTCACCCCCAAATTTTCCAACTGTGTAGAACTAAAACCTGAAGATTTTCCTCAGTGAAAATCAGACTTGGAAAACTTTTGCGTTTATCAAGTCACATTGCTCACATTTCATGTGAAGTTTTCCTGAAAAAAAATGCAAATAACTTACTAGCACTTGGGATTAAAGTACATTTTCATGAGACAGCACAAGTCAGATTTGCTACTGCTGAAAGAACCTCATTCTCCTGACAATGTCCCCCAGTTTCTTACTCCTACCATTTATCCAAAAGCACCCACCTGAAGGATCAGTGAGTGCAACTCTCCCAAAAGGCTTAAAAACTGAATTGGAAAAAAAAAACAAACAAACAAAAAAAAAAGAACAAAAGTTTTGGTAAGGTTAGAAAATTTAACTGGGTTACTCTGAAACTGAATAAATGCAAGAGATGATCAGCACAAGGCAGAAGGAATTACATAGCTGGGAGAAGGAAAAGAGTACAAAACTCCCCATTTTTAGTACTGTGAGACATTAGTACTGAGAAGAACTATGTAAAACTATACCCTTAGACTGAAAGGGAAGCTCCACATTGTTACTAGCTTGATGATCATGGTATTAATTTGGGATGTGACAAAGGAGTCATTAAGTAAAAAATATCCTAAGAAAAGGGACATGAATCTTTGTTTCAATCAAGTTACCCAATAAGAAAGTTTCAGGAGCACTTCCACCAACACTGGAAGCATTACTGAAATTCTTAACTCTTGTTTAGAAGGAAGAGAAGCTCCAAGAAGAGATGATACATCAAAATTCCAGCTGTTAAGAAAACTACCCAGATTTTAAAAGACCTTGATTTTACATTCCCAGTTTGAATTAGGCAGAGCTGGAATTTCAGACTGTCCCAAAATCCAGATACACACCACAGAGGAACTGACAGTGCCTCCTGGCCATTAGTTTTGACCAGAAGGTCCATCCTAAATCTGAAAATAGTGTCCTGAGGAAATCTTTCAAGAGGGCTAAAATAATAACAAAGCTGTAACTCTTCTGATATCTGCTGTTATACTATGGGGATATCCCCACACCACCTCCCTGATCACTGCTCCCAGCACTCAGTGATCCTGTGAAAACCTGACTCGGAGAACTCTTGCATTTTATCAAGTCACACTGCTCACACTTTAAGTTAAAAAAAAAAAAAAAAAAAAATCAGCCAGCAGAAATGTGCTAATATTAATGAATGAAGCCATGCCATTCAAACCTGACATAGCTAGAATATCTCTCTATTAAATTTGAAGAGGGCCAGGGTTTTTTCCCAGGAGTAACTCTACCACATTTCCTAATTTTGAAAAGGACAACATATTTTAATGTATTGCAGTAATAAAATCTGTAGAGGTTTACCTCAAATCATAAATAGGAGTTTTCTTTTTTCCAACCCAGCTCAAGACTGGAAAGACTGAATGTAGTTCTATGGGACAAGGCTATCAAAATCCTGATTTGGGGAAAGAATCTATTAATAGAGTTATGACATTTGATTTGTAACAGTTACATTTAGGGAATTCATGTTCCTATTATAATCATATCTGCAGATGCCAGCTGCAACCTAAGTATCGTTTTGCCAAATAGTGTGAAAAGAAGTACTAATCTCTGTCCAGGAGTTTTAGAGGAAAAAGAAAAGAAGAAAGGCCAGGATTAGGAAAGGCAGAAAGGAAGGGCGTAAAGAAGAGAAAGGTAAACTAATGCAAAAATATGACAAATGCAGGACAAATGCAGTTTCTGTTGCACTTCACAAGTAGAAACAAAGTTTAAGTATGGCAAATAAAGGCTCAGTAAGGGAAGAAAACTAAAGGAAAAAGGCCATGATACATTATTTCAATAAGGGAAACAGGGAGGGACAGGGAAATATGAAGACGGGGAGTGAATGAGGATTCCAAGTAGAGGAGAGACTGGCTGCCTCAGACTCTAGGTCCTTCAATCAGAATAAAAATAGAAAAACAGGCCCTGACTGCATCATCAGCATCCAGATTACTGTTACAACTGTTTGTCTGTTCCAGGAAGTCTGAATTGCTGGCTGACTTTCAGAACTTCCCACCACCTAGAACTGAGAAAGTAAGTTTTAGTACTTCCAGAGTATTTTGAGGGAGGGGAATCCAAGTAACAATTAGGGAGTAGGAGGGGTTGTCCTTGTCAATATACAACCGGTACACCATTTAAAAAAACAACAAAAAAAAAACCAAACCAAAACCCCTAGACTGGTCTTACTTCTTCCTCTTCAGTGTTCAGTGTTGCAGCAAATCCTGATAGTTCCACTACCATTGTTATTTTTTCAGCTTCATGATTTCTATTTCTGCTCTGAGACAACAGCCATTTTGTTGTCTAGTGTTTCACAAAGGGATTATTATTTCCCTTCCCACAGAATTCATAGACTTTGGAAGAGCCCCTGTTAGCACTACTTCTTTTATAAGAAAAGAATGTACTCACTGTAAATAACCACGAGGGATCACAATATTTATGATTGTGACATGGAATACAAGTGTGAGAGTGTGTCAAAAAAAATGCTTCCACAATTATTCCCCCAAATACATTAGGTTATAGAAATTTGTTTAACTTAAGAATTGTTTCCTAACAACATGACCTTTCTTTGATAGAATACATTGCACAAGGTTTCTATAGGGTAAACTAATTTGCAATTTAATAAACAAAAAAATAAAACCAAAACCCAAATTAAAACACCATCAACAAAAGACAAACAACAACCAAAAAAATCCAAAACAAACAAAACAAAAAAATCACTCCTTGTGCAATCCAGGCCCCTGTTAAATACAACAATCGTGAAGACATTTCAGCGAAAACAAACAGGTTCACTGGATAAAAATGAACATGTCACACATGCATACTGAAGTCTGATTTAAGACAAGTATGAAGTTAGACTCCAGTCCTCCACAGATATTTTATGTAAAGAAATGAATGTGTATAACTTTTAACATACAAATTTGGAAGGCCTCAGTACTTACCCTGACTACACTGAAGTCCAGTTTAGTTTCTTGTGCACACTGTAATATGAGCTGAAAGCAATTTTTACTTTGATTTGTCATTCCATTTTCATAATAACGCTGTAATATCCTTTGTTGTTCTACAGTAAATACAGAACGCAGATTCATCTAAAAATAAAAGAAGATACTCTGAAAGTTGGAATAAAAACTGTAATACTTGCAGAATGTACAGGCTCTCATTTACGCTTGCTGTGATAACGTTAAGTGTTGACACGTTTTCTTTACAGAGTCCTGTACCAACACTTTTACTTACTTCCAATAAAAACCTGTTACAGTTAGCATTAGTGATTCCTTTGTGATAAACTCAAGTTGAACAGGTGAACTACATGTTTGGAACAACACTGACAGCCTTTCATAAATAAATAAATGCTACATTGTGTTGCTAAGTCCAAGAGCCTTTGGTTTCAAAGAAAAAGTGTCTTCCTTAAAAAAAAAAAAAAAAAAAAAAAGCAAGCATTAGGCAAAACAGTAACACCAGCAGCTCCAACAATATTGGCAGGTCTGTTCTTCCCCACTCCCCCCTGTCCACCTTGCACCCCACCCCCTACCACATCCCCACCCCCCTTCCCCCCAAAAAAAGAAGAAAAGAAGAGACAAAATCTGAGAGAAAGTAAAGGTGACTGTTTGTCACCCGTAAAGTTTCCACTGTCTCCAACTTCAGCAAATCCTTTGCCCCTTCATGGCTGGCCATGCTACTCCTGCTGTGTCAGCATCAGCACTTCCCAGCTGCAGTCAGGAAGATCAACAACTAGAACTGAACACCAACTCAGGGAAAAAAAACCAAAGAGAAGGGCTTTAGGCAATTCTGGTCCAGCCCACTGCAGTGCTAATACTCTAATATTAATTAACACGAAGGAGGGACCACACAAATCACAGCCTGCATTTAGAAAGGTTCAAGCTACTGTGAAATTTTACCCTGAGGCTATAAATCAGGCTTTTTAAGAACACTTAAGGGGTGTTTTACAGGGGTCTAAGCCAATGCTGACTACAGGACCTCAGGATGTGTTCCTGCCCCTTCGCTTTGTCCGAAACAGTGCTGAGTTTTTCAGCATGCTCAACCAGAATGAAGAGACCCATGCTCCTCCCAGGCTAACAGCAACCCTTCCTTCAAGTCTTGCCTTCAGCCTGCTGAGCCAGCTCAGCACCGGGTCCCCCCATGAGAGAGCTTCGCTGCGTGGGGACAGGGCAGGCAGGGACCAGGCAGGCAGGCCCCCGGGCCCCTGCCAGGCCCACGCACTCCTGACGGCGTGGCCTTCATGGCGAGCAGCACTGCCCCACGGCAGACCACGGGACAGACCCCTCACCGCATCCCCGCCAGGGCCGTGCCCCTGCCAGGCTCAGCACAGTGCTGTATCAGCCCATGGCAGAGGCAGGAGGTGGCCAGGGACGAAACAGCCTCGTCTGCAGCAGTTGGGGGAACATATTAAGCCAGACACAGCGTTGTTACGCGTGAAAATCCATGCCTTAGCTTGGAAAAGGCAAACAGCTGAATATTATCAACTACAGAACAGACTCCCTAATGGAAAACTGAAGCCTTATGCTCTTGTTATATGGTCTATACAGGCAAATAATATAATCCTCTGGTTATATGTAAGAAAAGAAGAGCCCCATCATCACAGGATTTCTAGAACACGGCCTGTATTTGTCCCAAACGGGAGGCTGCCAGCTGAGACACTGCAAGCACTGGCCAGAACAACCTGCACCTGATTTTGCGTCTCTGAAGGCAGAGTCACCAGCCACAAGTTATTTTTAATACTTTAAGTATATGTATCAAAATAATGCAGAACAAACTAAAGAATAAGAAATCGTACTATCATTTTGTAGGAAAATAAAGAGGATGAGGGAACCCTTCGTAGCTACCAGGCTTTTAGCTATGACAGAGCTTTGACTTCAGAGTCTACTTTCCTCTATTTGTCAACATACAATAGAAAAATCATTAACTGCCAATTTGTAAAAATTACTTTTTTTTTTTTTCTCATTAATACTTAAAACAGAAGATGACTTTTCAATCCCATTTTAACCTCTGTTCCCGATTCCTATTTACCACCTCAGTCTAGTGCATTATCAAACACAGCACTACAAGTCAGGCTTTGCCCAAGTTATGCCTCCGCCAGAACACATATTCAGTCAGTCAGAGCTGGACAAAGGACACTCTTGCTCTGAATAATCCGCTATTTAAAGAGATTTATAGCAAGCAACAGATAAGACAATTATTAGCCCATTAGCAAATCAATAAAGTTCATAAAAATCTACTTTATAAAGTTAAGGACTGTCTTCAGATCTCCCATGTGGATATACATGATGATACAGCCACCAACCGATTTCTGTTATTTTTAAAGAATACGTAAGAGTTAATTTTGTGATTCTTTTTCCTCCTACACGATTGACAGGACCCCGCTTACACTCCTGTGTCTACTACTGTTTAGGTACCAGTGGTCTTTTTTTATTTAGCTGAGATCAGTTCCGGCAAATGACCTCATCAGAAATAGTTATGAACTTTCTATCTTTCCAAATCCAGATTAAGTCTGCCACCCAATAGCTCCAGCATTTCTATACATATGCTCATCAAAAAGAAGCATGCTTTCCAAATACTTCATCAACTGCCATAAAGACTCCTACAACTGCAAGATAAACTTTTAGAATCAGACCTGATAATCTGCAGGCAAAGATGTGTCTCAAGTCCTTGACACATTTTTTAATTATGTGGATTTCTGTATCCAAAGTCACTTCTGTCTTAAAATACTTTCACTGTTGCAGGTGACATCTGTAGTTTAGATAGTAGTTCTAGATAGTAGTAGATCTAATAGTTCTAGATCTGTCATTTAGTTCTGATGAAATCTCTTGATCTTTGGATAAACCTATATGCATTGCATGACAGACTTCATCTGGCTAAACTCAAGAAGGGTCATGTTCTGGTTTAATAAACAACTAATTTTTGCAATTTATTTTAATCACATGTAATCTACTCCTGCCAACCAAAATACTGGTAAGATACCTTAGTAACTAACTTCTGCCTTGAATGCAGTCAAGTATAGCTGAGAGGATCTGTGCAGAGGCCACCCGAAACTGACTTAAACAGATTGCAGGATGGTACAAACAGGGAGTTATAGAAGCTGTGGCATAACTTGAGTTTACATTCCAACATCTAAACTTTCAAATAAGCAGGTGAGAATTCATTAATGCTTTTTGTGTATTAAATATACTGAATCCTAAGCTAATAGACAGTTCTGTACCATTTCCCACTACCCCACCTATCCACACACATATTTACTAAAACTACAGAAGGGACATTAAAATAGTCTTAAAATATCCTTAGCTATCCTGCTATGTAAATCAACCTTATTCATTCTGCTCTGCCAATTAATTAATCCTTAAAAAAAAAAAAAAAAAAAAAGAAAAAGAAAAAAAAAATCTGCCTTTTACCAGACGCAGCAGAAATTACAGGTAAATTGCAGAATAAACCAGAGCACGCACAGAATGTTCAGCAGGGCAATGCAGGCAGCTACATCTGCCCAACAGAAAATTTGGTTCAAATTCTACTCAAAATATTAAACTCAAAGCAAACTAACCAAACCACTGCATCCACAGGTCCATTACATCCCATAATACTTTGAACTACACTACAGTTGCTTGGTATAACATGGTTATTAACAAGTGGATGTTAAGTTCCAGACAGTGCAAAAACAATAGATAACCTCAACATAGAGCACTAATGCATAGAACAAAGCCCCAACAAACCCATTCTGCCCCCAGGAAGCTGCAGAGTGGTTTTTGCTATTTGGGCTGCCAACTTAGCACAACCTGCTCTGGTCACAGCTGGGCAGGAAACACGACTTCGCATGAAGATCTTAGATTACACAGAACGAGAGAAAGGAAATTAAGAATCATAGTTTCTTTGCTTTTAAACTGCCAACATAATAATTTCTAACTAGATATAAAAGATCACAAGATTACTATTAGTAGTTGAAATAGCAGTAATGACCTCCAAGCGTTCAATCCCAATATTGTAGGACAAAACAATAACTGGCGTACTGATTTCACACTAGTGTGTAGAACATTTTGCAATATTCCTTCTCCTGCAGGTTAACAGCTCTCTGATAGTATGTTATCTGTAAAGTCCAGATGGAAATCAGTTTGCTATCAGCAGTTCTTAAGTGCTTATTTAGAATATCTATGACAGTACCCTGTGTTGAATAAACCAATTACAATGGAAGCTCCATTAGAAAGTCATGAAGTCCAAAGCCATCACATTAATCCATGAAGCACTGCTCTGCATATCCTATCTTCACAGGCAACAAGTTTTGCTCACTTTCCATACCTGTCAGTCCTTGCAATTTATCTAAATTAAGTACACTGAGCATTAAAATACCCATAAGAACATAATGCTACTGTCTCTGAGACAAATGAATACAGTGTATATTCATCAAAGGATTACACTGATCTTTTTTTTTTTTAAGAAGTATTACCTCTTTAGTATCAGTTTTCAAAGTTACACAGAACAAGATACTCATTCTTACATTTTCTTTAATATGGGAAATAATTTAAAAAGTGATGACATTACTAAGCATTAAGGTAACCACATTAGTATCAAGGGAACCAGCAGGTCATACACATTCACAATAGACTCAGTATTATCCAAAACAATCTCAGCAACTTCAAAAGAAATAAACTCCTTTTCCTACTTCGTGTACCTATGAAGCACTCCGGTTTCTTCAGGATTTATCACCTTTGTCTTGAACCTCAGACTCCAAATTAGAAATCCACATGGATTTTTACCACAATTTCATTTTGATCATGACTTGCCAAGCTTAGAAAACATGCATTTGAGCTTTTGGGAAGCCAAGTGTCCAGTTGGTTGGCAACACATTGGCACTGAAAAGAGTTTGTTACAGAAAAGAACTCTGTGAAATGTAATAAAATTCAGGCAAAGCATTATGCAAATTGAAATTCCATGAACGTAAGTTATAGTATTTTTAAGGATTCAACATCTGCCTGCTCTGATAATACAGTAAGATAGTCTTGGCCAAGTATGTTGCTGTCTATGTGACAGTGCAGAGAATAATCTATGACAAAATGAAAAAGACGGTTTCCTGTAAGTACTTCCTTCACCCCTACTATGTGTGCTAGGCCAACTAACCATTCAACTTTCCACTTTGGTGGTCTCCCATTCCTCAACCTTTGGTACACCCATCAGTATTAAGATGTTGTTCTTCATACCCTTTCTAAACTGAATATTAATCTAAAAAAATATCATAGTAGCAGAAGAATCCCTTCACTACACGCAGTGGTTTGGGAGACATAAATGTAGTCCAAGTGCTAAGTCAGGCACTGGGAACACACCAGAGATCCAAGGCTGGAAGGCGATAAGAACAAAGACAGGAACTCTATACCCTTCAGCTTCCCCAAGACTGCTGAATATGAGCCTCACGAAGGACAATCCTACTAACACACCACAACCTGTCACATTGGCTCCTTGCCAGGTGAGATTAAGTTTATTCTAACTGCTAAATGTCTTTAGTCTTCTTTAGCTGCTTGAGCAACTTTTTCCACAGTACCCATCTTCCTCTGCCTTCTGTGGCAAGAGCGAGCACAAGTAGAGATGGGAAAACATGAGAAAACCAAAGACAAGTTTGCTTCTGAAGTAGTAGTGCATTTGCTTCATGACACAGGTACTTAATGTAACAATTATGCCACACAGTTTACTGTAAATGCCTAGTCCTTCCACTCTAGTTACTTTATTCAACATCCAAAATTAAGACTCTCCAGGGAGACTTCATGAAGCCCACAGATGTATTTTTAGAAACTAATGAAAACAACTTAGTGTCAAGGAGTACCACAAAAGAAAGAACAACAATAAGAAAATGGGAATAATGCTAGGAAAAAGGGAAAAAAAAATCAACAGTTACTTAGCTGTTCTATAATGACTACTTGAAAGATCTAGAGGGAAAAAAAAAAGAAAAAGCAGAAAAAAAAAAGCAACATAAGAAGGAAAAAAATATTCTGTGGTCTAAAGTCTGCCTACAATGTATAGCTTTATAGTTTTAGTGCCAAAAAGTCTCTAAATACTAAGACTGCTGAACCAAGTAAACTTACTTACAAGGTAAATCTTTATAGAATACTACATTAATACTAATTATTTTGAAAAATATGAAATAAAACCAATACTTCTTTCATTTCAAACAGTAACAGAAACCAGACTTGGATGTGAAATAAAAAAAATTAATTCACTCAGAGTACAAGCTACCACAAAGTAACTAAGTGTAAAAAACTGTACAGGATAAAACACTACATAACTGTCAGGTATTAACACATAATAATAAACAGGAAAATTTTTCTTTCCCTCCACAGGCCTCCAGTGGTACAAAATAACAAAACTCAGCGCCAATATAAATCTGGGGCAAAACTGCAACCATAATAATAAAGCTACTATCTATATAAATAAACCAAGACTGCAGTAGTGACACTTACTACAGCTTTAGAAACCTGAATTGGACCAGCAACCACCTAATTCACTTTCTGTGCCTGCCAAAAGCTCACAAGTTTTTGTATAGCCCAAATGGAAAGAAAACAACCATCCCACCCACCCAACTTACACACCATGTGTGGACATACTGGATGTACATCAAGCAACAATGTTTAATAATCTTAATTTGTAGGTTACTGCCTCTTTCCTACACAGGCCAAACCAGTTACAACTACAAAACTGTAAATGCAGTAGATTATGCTTATGGTTGGGTAAGTGTAATATACAGGCCAGCTTGTAAAGCTGCTTTTAAATAACAGTGACTCGTAGCACAATTGCTTCCCTCTTCACTAAGTGCAGCATTTGTAATATTGTATTACAGTTCTACCTACACAATTCAGCCCTTTATTAGGGACAAATTAGGCAGCCCTCAGTAACTTAGTAACATAATTACCTATGACCACAACTCTGCAGATTTATGCAGCCCATCCCACTTTATTCATGCAAATGAGACTTCTGACTTCAACTGGATTAGCCACATTTTAAATTAAGCATGTACACAAGCATGTGAGACGTATGTCAGAAAAAAAGGAAGTTAACATCAAAGTGCAATTTTACTCTGAAGATGTGAGCTGCTTCAAGACTTCAGTAGGGAAGACACAGAACTACTTTTGGTTAGTTACATACGACCTTACCTATAATGTCAGAAGCCCTACGCTAACCAGACGCAGCGGGACAGGGTCGGGGATTACTTGTTACTCTCTAGAGCAGGTCAAGCCTGGGGGCAGCAAACGGGCTTTCAGAGGGGACCTCCCCTGGCACCACCATCCCTTCCGAACACCACAGACCGCACAACTTCTTCCTCCTCATTCCCTTCTGAAGGAGTGAGGAATAAAATTTGACAGCAAGAGGACACCCTCTCCAACCGCCACCGCGACCAGGTATGTCTGACACCAAAACAGAGCCAGTATGGCCCTTGAGAGGTATAAGTCCTCAGGGCAAACAAGGCTGGAGCTGTTCCGTGACACTCTCTTGCTGCGGGACACCTCCAGCCCCACTCACGAGTGGGTGCCCACCTGCCGCCGCGTGGACCCCACAAGCCTCGCACCCTGAGGTGGCAGTAAGCCTTCTCCTTACTCTCCCGCCACTGCCCCAGCCCAGCCTGAGGGACCGGCCCCCCCGTCCCCCACACCCGGGGCACCAGTAACAGCTGAGCGCGACTCTCTCCCCCCCGCGCATGCGCCCCGGCCGCCCCGCGGGCCACCGAGGTCTGCAGAGCGCTGCACACGCGCGGTACGGCCGAAGCCGGCGCAGGCGGCACACACCCCCCACCCCCCCGCCCCCGCCCCCGGGCGGCCGCGCGCATGCGCACTGCTCCGGCGGCGGCGGCAGCGGCGGGTGCCTCGCGCCTGCCTCAGCGGCGCCGGCGGGGGCGGCGCAGTGCGCCTGCGCGCCCGAGGTTGGTCTGCGAGCGCGAGCCCGCGCGGCCGCCCTCCCCCACCGCCAGGCCGCCGGCCCAGGGGCATCATCATCACCATCATCATCATCATCACCGCCATCATCACCCTCCTCTTCCTCCTCCTCCTCCCCGCCCGCCGCGCCCCTCCCGGGCGGGGGCCCGGCTGCCCCCTCGGGACTGACTCGCGCCCGCCTGCCGCCCCTGCGCGGCGCGCCGGGCTTACCGTGCTGTGCGGGGCTGGTCCGGGGGGCTCGGGGCTCCGGATTCAGCCGGTTTCGGCTGGGTCGGTCCCGGCGTCACACAATGAAATCAGCGCCTCCGATCATTAATTCTCATCATGATCGTGACGTCAGCGCAGACAGCGGCCAATGGGAGCGTAAGATCAGCGCCGGCCGGGACAGTGCTCGCCCCCGCCCCTCGCCCGGGGGGGCGCGCGCTGCGGGCTGCGCCGGGCCGAGGGGCCGCTGCGGGGAGCGACCGCCTCGGCCACCGCCTCAGCGCCCCGGGCGGCGGGCGGGCGAGAGGAGGCAGCGCCGCGCTGCCCCGCAGCCCCTCAGCGGCGGGGGTCGCCCCTCCGCGCCCGCCGCTCCCTCAGCGCCCTCAGCGCCGGCCTCCCTGACGGCTCCCGGCCTGTCCCCCGGCGCCGGGAGCGGCCCCGCCGCGCCGCCCTCAGCCCGGGGCAGCTCTGCCCCACTGCGGCCCCCCCGGCCCTGCCCTCCCGGAGCTCACCTGCCCCGGGGCGTGGGGCACCCACAGTTCGGCGGCCCGTCCAGCGTCCCCGCCTGTGCGTGGGTGTTGGTGGGTACCGTGGAGATGCCTACAGTGTGCGCGTAAAGCGATACCCGCCTTTTCAGAGAGAAAGAAACAGTGAATAGCCAGCTAAATAAAATTTACCGTGTTTTACAACATTTCTATTGTGCTGCTCCGAGCAGATGAGTAGGTGTGTCTGGTAAAATCTGAAAAGCCCCACAAAGGGATTTCAATTCACGTGAACGTTATGGCAGTCAAGAAATGAACTTTTTATTGCTTGGGGTGAATAACCTTTGGTGTGGGAAGAAAGGAAACGTTGGTCTCCTCAGGTGGGCAGCTCAGGGCTGGTGCCCCCCCGGGGGCCGGACGCCTCACCAGTGCGTGGCTGGGAGCAGTGGCTGCACCAGCACCACAGCACCGATGCGCGCTCCTCACGCTGGGCCATGACGGGGGGCACGCTACCACCAGGTGCATCAATGCCAGCCCTCCTTCGGGCTCGGTTTTCCATCCAAAAGGATACCTAGTCAACAAACAAGCGGGAAGTCCGGTACCGCTCATCCATACTGATGGATTATGCGATAGAAATCATGTAAAGTCATTTATTCGCTCGGCTGTAGGAGCACCAAGAAGCCTGAATTGGATCTGAGGCCTCGTTGTGTTAATTACAATGCCTCTAGATATGTCATGTCCCTATCCTGAATAGTTTACGCTGTCAGTCACAATGCTAAAATATTAAAACAGGCGATTAATTTTGTGCAACAACTTTAATCAGAACTACAGGTAAACGTTTCTGTAGGACTGAAAAGAGTTGCTACTGGTTATTTATAGGCAGGGAGGAGAAAAGCAGTCAACGTGTATGTTTATTTTAAAACTACAGTAAGTTACTTATACTGTTTAAAAAATTAAACACTGATTTCTGATATATTTAACTCTGTTTCTGGCCACCTAAAGGTTTGTCTATGGTTTTCCATGCAGCAGCAAGATAAAATATGTCCTAGAGTGTCCTTTAATAGTTGAGTAGCAGTTCATGTTCTATCCACATTGTAATTACATTTCCTTCACCACTCTGGAACGTCTATCAATCAATTAATAAAGCTTAATCTGAGCCAAAGATCTTAGATTACTTGAATGCTTTCAGTAAAGTGCCAGTCTTTACCTTAGCGTTCCTGCTTTATAAAGGAGAGGACGAACCATGCCAGCTTTCCTCTGGTCATGTACATCTCCAGGTGTAGCTGATGTTGTGAGTTCTGCATACTTCCACCAAATCAGGATAATATACCAGACATACTGATATGATACTTCCTTTGTATCACACCCAGTAACCGTGTGGTGCAGAGGGAACTGGATGAACAAGGTGGGCCACCTGAAGAGGTGGTGTTTTTCTGGGTGGGATCGGTTACCTACTGGCTCAGCTCGCTGATACAACTCTCCTGCTGCTCCACAGTTGCTCGGTCCACCACAAAAAGCCACCATGAGGAATCAGCTGAGGATAGGGAGCGGAGCAGAGGGTATCCCCTCGGGTAGCAGCTCCCAATTATATTGGATTAGATGGAGTAGTAAACACCCTGAATTTAATAACAGGATCTTACACATAGTCCATGTATTAAACCCTAAATCTTGCATTACGCTGCTTCTTCCCCTAGATACATTCCCTTCATCTGTGTGCCACCAACATTCAACTTGTAAAAATTAAATAGAGCACCCATAAAAACCCCACCTACACCACTTTTATAGAAAATTATTGTTTTGGAAATTGCTATGGAATGATTTCAGAGAAATTTGGATGTTTTCTTCTCGCATTATCTAGGGCTTGGGAAACAAAAGTGAGACAGTGTCTCTAAAATCCTTTGAAAAAGATACAGTGGTGTTTGATAAAATACAGCTTATTAAACTCTTTTAAAATGTTGAATAATAGAAGGTAATATTTCAAGGGCTCTTATCTGTGTAACAATGGGATCACAGGTGCTTTGTCTACAGTTTATAACAAAAAATCATAGAATTGTTCTTAAAGGAGACATCAGCTGTGTATTGAAGTTATCAAAGAAACTAATATGTGGACTTGTGACCACATAAAGATTTATAGATCACAGTAACAGAAATTTGTCTCAGTATAAATGGTAAGACTAAGAGTTTAAGCAGAAAATTCTACATCCAGCAAGCAGAATATGAAAAGAAAAAAGAGGTGAAGGAAATATGAAAAAATATATTCATGCTGGTGATAGGAGCGGGGTAGAAGAGGCACGCTCAACAATAGACACTTTAAAATATAGAAGAGTAAGCTGAATGTATAGGTTAAAAAAGCTGCTGCTGTTTGCAGCAGTGGAATGACAAGCTCCAGAATGAACTTCATACTATTTACTTCCTTCCCTGGTGTCGCCTCTCAATGAGACAAACCTCGAGGGAAGAACTATGGCAAGATGAAATAAAACAAATATTCTTCTACTGCAACCAGATCCACATGCTTTCTCAATCATTAATAACAGAGTTAAATTAACAGGGGCTGGCAAATTGGACCAGTGGTTTAAACAGTAGCCCGGGACATAAAAGGACTCCTTACATGAGGGAATTAGCATCAAAGTGAGACTCTCCGATGTAGCTACTTTATATTAGCTCATTAAACTAATTAGCTCAGCTTACTATTAGTTACTTAGCTTGGTATGTGTTACTGCTTCTATGTGGCAGAGAAAGAATTTCTCAGGAATACGTGTGCTGGTTCCTAAGCGCTGTGCGTAGGCATTCCCTGCTTTAACAGCAGCCACGGGGTGCGGCTGTCCCATCATTCCCACATGCGATACGGAAGAGGACAAAAGCCCTATTTCATATTCCACAGTCAGGAACCCACCTGTAAAATCACACAGTTCTTCTTTTCTCCCATCCCGAGACCACCTTCCTTTTCCAGCAGTTCATAGCATTTTCAGATTTTTATCAGACTGTGCAGGTAAGAGAAGTCTCTGTAAGAACATCCCAGAAGTGTCCCAGAGAGGGGAGCTGGTGTGTGACCACCGGGCGGTGAACCTGAGCAATTTTGGCCATACAGTTTAGAGCAACAGCTGCTACTTCCATTTCTTGGCTTTCTGTTGGATCTAGAAAACACTAAGAAAGCCAATGAGGCAAAACCAACCCACTGAACAGAAACTTTTCTTAGGACAGCTTCACCCAATTCTTTATATCATTTTCTGGTGATGCCTTAAAGGACATAATCTCTAAGCCAGACCTGAGGGTGACCTGATAGAGTCAGCAGCCTCTCAGGGAGGGGTGAAAACAGGGTGCAAAGGAGCACAAGAATGTTTCACCAGCAACTTGTGTTGCAATTTGGTGTGATGCTTCCCAATCTCAAACAAGTAATTTGCTAATTACATTGCTATTAGGCATTAAATCATGTAGTTATATAGCATCAGTCAAAAATGGACCTCATCTTGTCATTGAATCTGTCCCCTTGGCCCCAAAAAGAACAGTGTCAAGCTTATGCTTGGAAAAATGTATGGGAGAATCCAATATTGAAAAACCTGAAGTTAATCCAGTGCTTGACCGTTCTCCTATTAGAAAATTTTTGCTAACATTCATCCTGAATCTTCATTAAGTTAAACCCTCAGAAGACATTTATTAAAATTCAGGCTCAAGACTGACCACGACAAAACCCCACTTGCTCCTGTCATTTTGTCAGAAAACTATAACAGTTTTCTGAGCAGTTCCTCATCCAGTTCTGCAGCTTTGTTTCCCCAGCTTCACTACAAGAACGCTGTGTCTGACCATGCCAAAAGTCGACATGTATCACATTTACTACTTCATGTCTCTACAAGGCTCATTATTCTGTCATGAAGGAAAGTTAGATTGGTTTGATGTGGTTTATTCTTTCAAAATCCAAGTTACCTGTTACTGATTTACATGTTTCCATCAACATGTATATGCCATTCTTTTCGTATCAATGCCGTTGACTTTGCACAGGTATAAGTTGCTCTGAAAAGCAAACCCTTTGGTTTAGTTGCCTGCTCTTTCACAGGTTTCCTGCTTGATGAACACTTGAAATGACAACAGTGATATTTGTCCATTTTACCGAAAGACTATAAAGACACACTAAGGATTGGGAGGCACAAAGGTGTAACTAAAGATCTGCTAAATCAGGAGGTTCCTTGTGAAATAGCGATGGAGAAAGAATTACAGTGTGTAAACCTTAGTAAAAATGTTAATAGGGAAAATTCCATGCAACACCTTTTCTCCACCTAAGAACACAGCCAAAATTAGTGGTCTTACAAGATTTACAAATTTTCCACCTTCTTTGAACTTGGTTTTGCCACATTAATTAAAATTAGTTGTTAATCCTCACCCAGTGCATAAATAAAGCTCCCATAAACTGAATCTGCAAATATGTCCCTTATGCTAGTATGCAAAAAACAGCTGGTGCTTGTGGGAAAAAAAATGGGAAAGAGCCTGGCTGGGTATATATTTTAGGGATTTGTTCCACTTTTTTATTGCTTGGGGTATTTTTATGAAAATCAGGAATGTTCTTTCCTCTTATTTTTATTACCTTTGATAATTTTTCATAGAGCAAGCCATGAAAATGATGAACTGGAGGAACATACAAAAATGTTATACACCAAAAATTAAAAAAAAATAAAAAGAGGGAGATAATTACTGAATATTTATCTTCCGCCCATTAGTATTCCTAGTATAAAGAGATTTTTAGTACAAAGAAAAATGTAAAACATTAAAAAAACAAAAAAAAACAAACAAAAACCAAAACAAAACAAAAAAAAAAACCAAACAAGCAAACAAAAAAACCCCCCAAAACAGTAAAGGCAGCAGGAAACAAAGAAATGGGGAGGGAACCCATATTTTTTTTCCCTGCCTATGCAACTGACCTGTTCTTTGAAGCCTTTACAAATTAATCCCATAGTCTTCTGGATTGTGAATGCACCACTCTACTGTTTCAGATTTCAGCATTACAGACTTCCTGAAAGGAGGGGTATTTATTTTCTAAAGTAATAAAAACTTATACCCCACAACCAGTAAATCTTCTTGAAGCTATTTGGCTTCCTTTGGTTCCCTCCATTTCTTGGCCAGAACACAGCTGTATGTTTTCAGTTTGAGTGAACTCTTCAGAGTTTAGTTGCTTTACAGGACATAGAAACTTGATCGATTCCAGTTTTCCTGTTATCATTCTCACAATCTTCCTTCTACTAATAGTACTATCTGGTCCAATCTAGAGATGCATGGAACAAAAAAAGATAGGTACGACTCTCATCTCGCTCAGGCAGATGTTTATTTGTGATAGCAACTATCAGTATAAATGGCCTGGCAAATCCATATGGCCCCTCTTTCAGTAATTTAACATCTTGCTACAAGCCCCAATTCAACTGCTACGGTTGTTCACATAAAGGTGACACACAAGCAATTCTTATTTCCCATGATTTTTTTTTGGAAAAGCAACTGAGCAAATGTTGAGCTGGAATCGTCAAAGCATTTATTAGGTTATGCAAAACTTTGCTTTTGTTTGACTTCTATTTTTCCAGAGGTTAAGAAGGTTTTCCCATTTCCTCAGGTCTCCCACAAGCACACATTCCTCTGACCCTTCTTTTCTAACTGTGGGTCCACACTTTTATTGTAAAGCTCTTGCCTATCCCCCTTGTAATCAGCTGCTCGCCTTTTTTCTGTACCCCTGACTGGCCTGAAAGGGCCTGAAAATTGTGGGGTTTTCCCTCTAAAAATAGGATAAGCACAATGCTTGTCCTGAGTCCTTGTGAATAAAGGAAAAATAGCCATCATCCACCAGTTTCTTTAAGTGTTTCTCCCTGGTTCTGTCTTATTTAGTCAAGCTAACTTTTCTCCCCAGTCACAGCAAGCCAAAGTGAGGGAAAGAAATGAAACGATAGAATACAAATGAGTAATGTACAATGAGATTGCTCTCCACCTGCCGACCCTTCCTGGCTAGTGATCCCAGAGAAGAGAAGATCCCAAAACCACAATCCCAGAAGCGAGAGGACCAGTTTCCCAGCCAACCCTCATCTATATACTGAGCATGACATTAGATGATATGGAATATTCCACTGGACAATTTGGGTCCATTGCTCTGGCTGT